TTTTTTTTTTTTTTTTTTTTTTTTTTTTTTGCAGGTAATTAGATAAGGTTTAGAAGTTGGCGCTTGGCCGTGACTGCTCTATAACTTTGTATTTAAATGATAAAAGCAACTGTTAAAAATTTTATGATGCTCAATAAGATTAACAAGCAGTTAAGAGAGTCATATCACCGAGAGACTAATTGAATAAATGAAATTTGTGAACATTTTTGTATAAATTAAGTAATTTTTTTAAATTCAAATGAAGTGTGGTTATTATTCTGTCTAATGGAAAGTAACAGTTTGTTAATTTTGTGAAGCCAAAATACATATGCGGTAAAGTGCAGTCATAGTCGTTCGTAACGAAAGTTAAAGTGCTTTTTAATTTACTGGAGAACATTATATCGTCATATACTCTGGGGGAAATTTTCTTATAAATTTGACTTTAAAAAATTTTATAGCGGTACAGTATTTCGATAGACAGTATCTAAACAACATCTAGACAATGAAATTGAAATTTTGAAAAGTAATTTTTTATCTAAAGCACTTCTTAGCAGATTCATTTCGTATGACGATTAAAAAAAAGAAGCAAAGGTCAGTGGAAAAGCAATCAATAGGTTTTGATTGCTGTTTAAAAGATTTCTTGCAACAGTTTTGTTAGCCCGTGCACAGAAGTTTACTTTATTTGCAATGAGCCAAAAGGAGTTTCTTGAAATGCCCAATTATTTTCCAGAAATTTTGCCGACTTTATTACGCAAAAATTATTATGGGCATTAAGTCAACAGATAATTATTTATAACAGAAACATGTCAAAAGACTGCTAATTGACTGAAATACTAATGAAAGTCGGTGCTGTCAAAAGATATGGCACAAAAACACTTGAATGTTATTGATAACGGATGATGAGTGAAGAAAGGAACATATAAACAGGTGTGAATGGAGCACTTGAAGCAGCTAACTATGGTAAACAGTCAAAGGTACATCAAACTACATGAATCAGTCACCACGATCAGTCTGGATTAACAAGTCATACTTCCAAATCGTCTCTCATTTTCTGCATACAAAGAGCATTTTTCTTTCATATCGCAAAATTTCTGCATTATTTTTCGACTGATACAATTTTGTTCTTTCATCTTCTAAAAGATATAGCTTTGTTTAAAACTATAAAGAAGCTGGGCTGATTTCGGATCCTGATTCTTTCGTGGGTTTGATTATCTGTTTTTGAAGCCATATCAAATCTGCAAGTTGTGGTAATTAGGTTTACTTCTGTAAATATCAGTCAAAAATACTTAGCTGTATTCTTCACATTGTACCGCGATGTCATGTGCATTCTTTATTTCGGTCCATTAATCCGACTAATTCTCATTTTTAAATTTTCAGTTCCACTGGTATATATCTCTTTTATATTTGTTTTAGCATTTGTGTATCTCATCTATCGTTTATAGTCTTCTCTTTATTAGATGTAAAAATTTATTTACCATTTTTTCCACACTTAGACTAAAATAATTATATTCCGCATAAAGATCAGGAATCAACTGCTCGTTTTTTTTTTTTTTCAAGCATCAAAGCCACCGATAAAAAGCAGCCTTTGGATATTTTTTGAGCCATTGCTGCGTATCGCTCTTGAATAACCTCTTGGAGAAAAACAATTTTTTTTGCTGTAAACGGCAAAGATATTATTGGTTATTGGAATTTTTAGCAGTAAACTTTGGATTAATTTCAGTAGCCAAGCAGAATACCTAAAGAACAATAAAATTTAATCGCTGCGCTACAGTCAACGTAAGTTACTTAAACAAAAATAATGAAGTGACCTTAACTTTAAATTTTTAACTTTAAATTGTTTAAATTAGTTAGCCTAGATGAGTCTGCTAGGCAAACTAAGTCTTAAAGAAAGCACTGTAGTAATGTTAGGTAACTTTTTGTAAATAGCCATTGAAACAGTTTTCAAAATTAATATCAGCAGCGGTAACAAGGAATAAAGTCACTGTACAGCCAGTAAAAGACACCAGAAATAAGTAGAACTCCGGTTCCTAATTGCAGTTTTTACACTGCTACTAATGCGGACTTTATTAGTATTGCTTGGCGGATGCGTTTGTAGAAAAGAGGGCGTAGTTAGTTGCCCTAAAACAGAAATGTTGGTTCCCAAACAGATCAAGAGAAGCCAGTTTTGTTAAATTCTCTTTGTAAAGATATGCCGCTTATTTAACTTGCCTGAAATACTGCTCCACAATTTTTTTAAGTAGTTTGAAGAAGCAGTCTTTATTCTTTTAACGCCAACAGCATGCCATATTTTCTCAAAATTCTGTGACATTTAATACTGAACCTCTCTTCGTTCGCTTTTGGTAGCCGCTGATGCTTCCTTAGAAGTTGTTAGCAATAAAAAAAAAATTTAATGCATTTTTCTTGGCAGCCAAGAAGAGATTGAACACCGACTTGAAGAGCCTTCAATTAGCATAATAACATTTTTGTTGAATTTGTGAGTTATTAAATGTACTGAGGCTTCTAGTTTACAATTTAGTTTATTTTTTTGGTGCACTAGTACCTGCTGTACTGAATTACTGCCATTTTGCTCACTATAACCAACTGGTTCAGAAACATGTGGGTTTGCTACTATGCTAACTCTACCGTACTGGAATGTGAGGTGAAAGACCTAGGCCGCTTTGTAGATGAAGTATTTTGGTTCAGTTCTGCAGAGAATTAATTCATAAACATTCTTGAGAACGAAATTGGCAGTTCTACGTCCCTTTATCCTGAAATAAACTGTGGTCACACGTTTGTTGCTTTCACTCGTTTAACCTTTGTAACAATGTAAAATTTATTAAGGGCTTTGTACCAAAGGAAAAGAAGTTGTTTTCTATTTGGTATTTTGAAATAGAACTTGGGTTGAATTATATTTTTCTTATGTAAACGTATTGTGGCAACCGGAATTTGTCTTTTCTGACAATTCGGTTTTCATTTTTGGCTTTCGGTTGCTTTCTTTCCGTGCTGCCATAATGAACTGTCATCACTGTTGAAATAGGCAAATTTTTTGATTGCTGGATGAAGTCGACTAGTGCTTAGGATTCATAGATTAATGTGGCCGTCTATTTATTAAATTTCTAGCTAGAACTGTTCGTTTAACTGAGCGAAATTCAACTTTTTGTTCAAATTTTTGCTATAGGATTTCTTTAAACTTCTAACTTTTTAAGATTCGAAAGTATAGTTTTATTCCTTGTTTGTTTGTTCTGTTATGTGAATTTTGATGAAAACATTTTGGTTTTTTGTCGATTTTTATAAACGCTATAGTTTTATTGTTTAATAATTTCAAGGATCTAAGAAATCAAAAATTTGCTTTCTTCTGCCTTCTTTTTCTACATACTGTAAAAAAACGATACATTATTATTTTTTTTGATTTGATTATTTAGCATCTTTAGAGGAAGACAAGATGATTAATTGCGCTTAAAAACAAATGTCGGTAAGTGTTTTTTTGGTAACGTTATCGCTGTTGTCATAAAAAAGCAAAAGCGGAAAGGCCTTTGTAACAAGATTTTTTTTGCCTCATGAAACCATCTCAGAATAAATCAAGATGCTGCTGCAGTTTAGCCATAGAATTCAGATGAGCTGTTGTAAGCATAAATTTAATAATGCCATAAAGAGCAGAAAGCTGTTGAGATTTTCCAGACGCTTCCATCAACTATAAGTCTGCAGTTGCTTAATCGTTGTACGCTGCAGCAGTACCAATATGGTAAGGTAACAATTTTCTGAAGTAACAATGATTAAAATACCAACTAAATTCCATCATTTGTCTTCTATCTTTTAGGAATACAGTGAGTGTTGTGGTGGCAGTATTTGATGCAGAATTTATTGCCAGTTTATCAACTAAAAATTATAATAATTAAATCGAAAAAGAATTTTTTTATGTTTATTAATCTGTTATTGATGTATTAATTGTGTGAATTTTAACAAGATTATCGTTCAGTAATCACTTATTATTTTCAGCTAGGATGTTTAGTGGATTTGGCTTACGTTTGTTTGTTTCCTTATTAACAAAGATTATATCGTTGTCTTTTTTTTTTGGCTGGAAATTTGTTGACATAAAGAGTTTGAATTTGAGCTCAGTATAGCTGTCACAAAAATGGATTTGTCAAAGACAGAAGGATGAAAAGAATTCTTCTTTTTTTTCTTTCGGTTCTTTCTTCTCTTTTTTTTTCTTTTTTTTATGGCTTTGACATGAAGGAAGTTAATTATTCGTGATTAACATATTCGGGAAAAAAAATATATTGGCCAAAAAATTTTTTACGCAGTTTTATTTGTTCTCGTTGACGGCCGAAGCCCCAAACATCTGGGGCATTTGGTCTGGTTGGCAACTAAGCTAAACTGAACAGAATTTATAAAGGAAATTGTTTAGCTCAGTTGTTGCTTTAACCCATTATGCAACCAGCAGCAGTGCTCCATCATCTCTTTTTAATTTCTGTAATTGTCGGTATCAGTTGCAGTTTTGTTGCCGGACAACTATGGATGCCATTTGTAAGCATTTCATATTATCATTTAGCTATTATAATATTTTTTTAATCAACTGGTGACCGTTGAATACACATATAAACATTATTTTGCTCTTTACCGACAGACTATTAAACTTTAGAATTAAAAGACTTCATCTCTGAATACAATTTTTGTTTTCATTATTTGCTTACAGATCTTTAAGTTAGGTGACAAAGGAACTTTTTTCTTCCTGTTCGAGTGGAAGTGTTATGGTGTCTCAAATTTACGTTTCTCTTTGGAAGCTAGGGGGATGGTGTTGTTGATTAGATTGAACTGTAGCTTGCATCGAAATCATTGTTTTTCCTCGAGTTTATAAACAAATGGTTACCTGCAGTAATATCGGCAGAAATTCGTTCCTTTGCCGATAATAACTAGCAGATGAACTTGGAAATTTCGATTAGTCTTTTGTTATTCCGCGGAGCTATATTTTTTGAACGGAGTGTTGGTTTCGCTGAATACAGCAGTCAAGAGCTTCTTTCTGCTGCTCATTAAATATTTGCTTAAGTTACCAAAATTGCCTATACAATAACGACTGCTGTTCCGACTAAGCACAACCTTAAAGTATATCAACTAATATGTTAACTTATTGTTGCAGGTAATTGTGAGACTAAATTTATAGTTCAATACGCTGCATTTGAAAGATGCTTAACTTGTTGATTTAATTGAAATTTGATTTACTTCCTCGTTGTTATTATCGATTCTTCACAGCTTAATTCTTGGTTCTTTTAAACTTAAAATTTTTTTTGCTAAAATTGGCAGTCAGCAAATAAATCGGTTTTGGATAGGCTCTTTTCTGCCCAACAATTCATGACATCAACTATTGATATCAAATAAATTTAGTTATTCATAAACTGAAGAAGAAATTTGGAATTTTAGTCAGTGTCCGTCACAAAAGGCTAAAGCTGTTGTTCTGATATTTTGTTTGCTTAAAAAAAGTAGTGCAGTTTTCAAGTTTCTCAATAATTTTTTTTTTGTTAAGCTATTCTCATTAATTAACAGTACTGGTTATTTATTGATGATGCCATTGTTTAATACCCCAGCACTGTTAGAACCTCTGTTGGGATTTCTTGGACCACTACACTGACCACTTTGGTGTCAGTAGTGATTAACAGAAGTAAACAGCATAATTATTGTAAATCCTCATTGAGCTCTAGTCTTCTCTTTTACCCTAATACCTTACGTACTGTACTGTTCGACATATGTAATCACAGCGATTAAAAAGAACTTTAGAATCCACTGGCTTTGGCCACTACAACCAGCTATTTTCTCCTACAAGGAAAAAACATAGTAGAGTGGTCTGAAAAATTTAAATGAGGGATGACAGATAATCTTGCAAGGGTTACGCCTGTGCAATCCAAAGTTAAAACTACAATAAGACATCGTCTTACGGTCATTGTCTATTTACTCACAAATTAGATGGGGCCGTTTTGACGGAAAAGAACTTCAAAACCGTCAACGTTGACACATCAGAAAGAAGAGCCATATTTAACCAAAACCATACCTGTTTTAATAATTTTTTTCAAAAAAATTTTTGTTTCTACACCTATTGTTATTTGAAGTTTTTTTGTATTAGATTCTGTAGTGCTAATTTTAGGCCAACCTAGGGACGGTAATCCAGACACTAAAAAAGTATGAGTCATTTAACCCCACATACACCGATCTGCCTCCGCCAACGATGAGTCCACTAGAATATATGAGCATAGGTCAGTTTAAAGGTAACCTTGTATTCCAGGTCTTCGATTTAGGTTAATTTTCAAGAATTCAGTTAATTAAGTTAAGAATTAATTTTGCTTAATTATATTTTACAGCAGCGAAACCCTATATCCAAAACCTTACGAAGGCCCTTCTCGGAGTTGGCTCTACAAAACTAGAGGAAACTTCGACTACTACGCAAACGGTGGAACCAACACCAAAAAAAACAAAGTTTAAGTCCACTACGCTCCCGCCATGGATCCGAAATATGACAATGTTAACTTCAACTTCAAGTGCAGTCTTATTCCTCATTTATGTTTGATCTTTATATGCGTAGAGGTGTTCACCCTTAATGATAGCGCTAACAGATTTTCAGTCCTTCGCCTTAATTCATCAAAGTTTTTGAATTTTACTATTAACAAACACAGTCACTAAATCTTATCTCTTCTATGGTATTTGTTTATAAAAACTAAATTAACGGAACACAGTAACAATGTGCCGTTCATAAGGGGGTTGGAATATTTAGAAGTTTGTAATACGTGAAGAAGCCGTTAAGAGTCATCGGTAATAGATTACTGTTATGTTACTGTTACGGAAAAGTATAGATGGCGAGTTTCACGGAACATAGAGCGGCATCTATATACTGTATCCTTCACTTCGACATGAAATGATTTTAGGTTCAATAAAAGCGACTTCTGGAACTGCTACGAAGACCTCAGCGACCCCGACGCCATCGACAGCAACAAGAAATACCGAAAGTAGACAAAATACGAAAATTACGTCGTCTACAACAGGAACAAAAACATCCAAAAAATCTAAAACCACGTCGACGGGAACTACAATAGGTTCAACAAGTGAAACCGAAACTCTAACAACACAAACAACAGCAGCGAAACTAACAAAAACAACGGCTGCGGCAACAACATCATCATCTACTGGCAAGGCAACATCGTCTTCTGCAACATCTACCACCAGCAGAGCAATTGCCGAACGAGGATCAGCGGCTTCGACTTCAACGACGACCACAACAACAAAGACAGTGACGTCACCGACAACAACTACAACTATGGGCACGAGTAATACGCCGAAATATACGTTGCCCACGCAACTTCCAACTACCAGAGGAGTTTCAGTACGACCACCTGTAGTGTTTCCATCGAATATAAAGAGCAAATATACGCCAAAGAAAGCGCATAAAAAATATGGTCCATCGAACACATGTGAACCTTGCAGTAAGCTTTTTGTACAGTTCAAGCATCATCAGCATGGTGTTCCATTAAATACCAAATCATAAGGAAGAAAAATAGTGCTATACGCTCATTATAAACAATCACAATCCCAAGATTACTTTTAGAACCTGGCAGGCCATGTTCGCTTCGACTTCGTAGTTTTGAGACATCAGATCAAATTTTCCAATATGCATACAGCCGTTCAACGATGCTTGAAGAGTCGTTACTAGCTGTATTACGGGTTTGCATTTAATTTCTGCGCATTTTGCAATTTTGATATCTCTGATTTTTGACACTAAACGTTTGTACAGGAAACCCAGGGGACAGTTCTTCCACCACCGTTGTCATGGAAAGCATCGATTTCGCCGGAAACTGTGCAGCTTGCACAAACTTTAATGCGAATTCAGCGGCCAAATCGATCGCTGGTGGTCGGGATATTTTCTGGCCTTTCGGTACTTGCTGTAGCTGCTCTTACAGATTCCAGGGGAATTGTAATTGGCTTAGAGTATCCAGAATTTATCGTTTATTGGGAGAAAATTGGCATGAAGCATGCCAATAAGGTTAGTTAAATTTATGATTAAAAGAAGTATTTTTTTTGGAATTTCTGAGTGTTGAAGTTGACTATCAGCCGGTCAAGTAGGGTTGTATATTTGTCTTTCTATGGCTTTTCACTGTAACATTACTGTGGTGAAAAAATTGCAGAAAATCGTTTAAATAGTTAATGTTCTGTTAATAATCAAGTGACAAATATTAGGTAATACCTAATGGGTTTCGAGGGTAAGTGTAACTTAATTTTTCAAGGCATTTGAAGTTCTTTTCCTTTTATTTCTCATACATTAATCCATGTTTGACATAGCGATGAAGATTTTAATTCTTTTCTCCCATCTTATTGCGTTTAAAACGTTTTTTGTCCGACTTTTTTTTTTTGCTTTTTGGTTTTACACAGTTACAACAACGAAAACAAACAAACACATTTTTAGGGCTAGAAATACCTTCCAGATGAACCCTCTTTTTGCCTCTCCCTCTTTTTTACAGCCAATGATAAGCATAAAATCAACAAGTGAACAGTATTAAAAGTTATACTGGACCAATAAAACAGAGTTGATAAATGTTACCGGGAAAAGCTGCTTTTTTTTCCTCACTAAAAGGTTCTGAAATAAACAATAAATAGGAAGTAATAGAAATGCTCAAAATTTGTTTTTTTCTTTGCGAAAAGAACTCTGCAATTTGTTCTGTTTTTTATCCTTTTACAGTGTCTCGTCTTTTGTCTTAAGTTCAAAATTAGAATGCCAGGCATTATGAAAAATGACTACTTAAATCATCAGAAAAAAATAATGTTTTATGACGAAAAGGATACAATTTATCGCTTTTCTCATACCGTAGGATTTTTAATTCAAACAGCACGTAATGATAATATAATGTCTTGTTTTATATTCGTGTTTTTTTTAGCAATTTTCGTAACATCTTTATTAGTCAAAAAAATTTGCCATTTTTTTCGTCATTTTCGTCTGAAATCGGATGGTTTTCCTTAATTTGTTATGGAAATGTGCAAAAACTAGGAATATTTTTTGATCATTTTAGGAAGAACAGATGCTGTTCTTAGATAAGCATTTGAAGGGGTGAGCGTCAGATAAGTGCATTCTATTTATTGAGAGACAAATATTTTTATTTTGCTAGAAGCCTAATTACTGACTTTTTTTTATAAATCTTAAAATAGAATTAAATGCTTAATTAGTAGTTAAGAAATTTGCATAAATTAAAACTGCATCAGTTTTAGTAAGTGTAACTGAAGACAAAAGAAGTAAGCTTCTAGACACATCAATAATGATATTTCATATAATCAAAGAAATAAGCTTCTAGACACATCAATAAAGGTATTTTATATAATCTAGGCGTTTATGATATGTAATAAACTAGAACAAAAAATCAGCGTACAAAATTGAGGCATACGTATATGTGTTTTGCAAGTATATTTATATGCTAACAAAACTTTTATACAGCGAGACGTAAACTTTTTATGGTATCTCGTTCCTATAGCTAGTTTTTAATTTGAACACAGCGGTGAATGCTTTTCTGTACGATATGTCATACGCCTTCTCGTAATAATATTTCTGTAAAATTGGAAGATGTCTGTTGAATGCTGTTTCTCTAGCTAATAATGCTAATAAGGTACTTATTGGCGAGTATAGAACGAAGCCGCACTGATTGGTTGGTCCAGTCTGTAAAACTAAACTTTTTATTGTTTAAGTGAACAATCCAAATCGTTTTTAGTGGGCGAAACAATATTGGCTGTCAAAATTCGTTTTCTGTTCACTGGTCGTATTTTATTTTACCTCACCATCAAAATTTTAATTTAATTTTTAATTTTTTTCTAGTTTTTGGTGTGCTTTACTAGTAGCTTTGTTTAAACTAATGCAAACTCTTGTGTCTTCTGCCACTCGGATGGACTAAAGTAATGCGAATTTTGCGCAAAGGCTTGTAAAAGCTTCTAAAGGCATTTTAGTGAGGGAGCTTCTTCAAAGAGGCAGTTAACAGTAAATGGGTATCATCTCGCTAAAGCAAAACCATTTAACCTTAGTTTATTCGTCATTCGCTTAAAATGCCTAGGAGGGCATCGTTGCAAATCAAACAGCTTGCAAACTATGTCCGCAATTGGTTTTGCTGGAAGAATCTGCTGGGACTTCCGAATCAGTAACTGAGGTGAAGTTTCCGTCAATCGTTTCAAGTTACTGAGCGCGTACTTCTCGGCCTTGTTCAAAAATGCGTTGCATCAGTCGAAAAAATCAGCGTTTACGCTGGGGACATCCAAATCACTTTTTTCATCATAATACTTAACACAGAAAAGTAAGACATTATGAGTAACAGCTATTAGAATGAACTGGTGGGACTCAAAGAAGAATCCGGCAATGAAGCAAATGCTTGATTTTTTTTTTTTGCAGTTGCACTTGATGAATCGGATCCAAGTTCGATCACTGGAAAATGTTGACAAGGCTTTACAGCGGATTGCAACCACCGAAATTGGCACATTCGATTTTGTTATACTTGTAAGTATTTTTTTGTAGTTTGCTGTCGAAGCGTAGTGGAATGAGATGAGGATTGCAAGGTTTTTTTCAAAAGAAGGTTTTATTGAAATAGTTTGGCCCTTATTCGATTCTAGTGATCTAAGGAATTTCCAGGATGACTACCGACAAGTAAATTATCTGGATGATTACGAGCATGCTGTACGACTGCTGAGGACCGGTGGTATCCTTTTGATAACAGATGTAATATTGGATTTAATTATTTATTACACAAATATCTTTTTATGGTTATCAAGGAACTTCTTTTAATGACATGTTCTTATCTGAAAAGAGTGGTTGAATGTTATAGTACAGTAATTAATGATCAATTTTTCTGTAAAGTTCCAGGCTTCATTGTTTGAGAAGAAAAGAACCTTAATTTTTTTTTCCTGTGAACTCAACAGGTTTGAATAGATTTGAGAGATTTTGTGAAAAAATTATGCAAAATTTATGGCAGATTTTTTCGCAGTTTATTAAATCTGCTTTTGTCTTCGATTTAGGAAAAAAAAATGCAGTTATCAGTCGCTGTAGTACCCAAGCAGAAAATTTTTTCTTTTTATTAGAACGTTACAACAATAAAATTTGTACTGGGAATTGTAGCTGATTCAGCATTGCAGTTGTTGATGCTGTTGATGTTTTTTTTTGTAGGCACTTAACGGCGGTGCTGTGTTATCCGGACCGGACTATGTGACTCAAGAGAGTAAAGCCGTTCAGAATATGAATCTTCGAATAAAAGAGGACACTCGTGTATCGGCGACATTACTGCCATTTGCTGGAGGAACTTGGTTGATCACCAAAGTATAGATGCTACCCTTTTAGATTATGTTATTTCCATCTGTTTTTGCTTATATCTTCTTCTTACTGAAGGGTGCTGATTGCAAAAATAATCAGATGGTGATCTTTAATGAGGTCTTTATTGTTGCAACTGTTGTTTGAGAGTTTGCCGATCTTTTGATATTCCGTTATATTTTGTCCTGTTTTCGGTTATTACAGTTGTTATCACAGTATTGCTTTATTTCATTTTTCTTTCGTTACAAGTGCATTTTTTGCTAACAACTCCTATTTTCCTTTTGCAAGCTATTCGCTTAGAATAATAGTTTTTTTTTTGTTTCTGTTACTGTAAATGTGCTATCTGCTGCAAGTGTATATGTGAATTTCTTACCTTGTTTTTTTTTTTTGTATTTTTTTATATTTGTTTTTTAATGTGTCTTTGTTGGGTGTGTCTGTGCCGTCGTACGTCTGTGGTGTTTTTGATTGTGTGTTACTGTTTGTCTGTTTTGTCCGACGCGTTTACAAAGTACTTTGTTTGATTCCTTCTTTTATTCCTGATTTTTATTTTGGATTTTTGCTTTTTTATTGTGATGAGAATGAAAGTACGTAAAGAAGTTGAAAAATTTTAGCTAAAATGTAAATACAGAAAATTATTGTTGATTTCCCTCATTGTTCTTTACAGCACTTCTTACAACTCAGTAATACACACCTGAGTCGTTACCGATTGTTTTCTTCATTCAACAGTAATTACAACACCTAACTTTTCCAAATCTCTTTTCCTTCTGAATTTGCACTGATTGTTGGTTCTGTCACTAAAAGCACACAAAGAAAAAAAATTTGTTTTTAACGGTTAACTGAAAAATGATTGCAAGAAGCAAGAAAATTGGGGGAGAAAGTCAGAAGAAAATAAAATATGAATTGTTCACTTCTTAACAACAAGGGAAGTTTCGTTACCAAACTTAAGTTTCCCCACCTGAAATTCTGATCGCGATTTATCATTTTTATCCAACACTTCCTCGCCTTTCTCATCATATTCTCTCAACGACTCCGTACTGCTGTCAATGTTATTCTTAAAACAGTTTCCCATAAATACAAAAGTGAAACCGAAGTGGTTTTTTTGTGAATATCTAAGTTGTGGTAAAGCCTATATATATATATATATATA